TCTTCTCAAGTCCACACAGGACATTCTCAAAGACAGACCACATGTTAGGACACAAAGTAAGTCTCTACAAATTCAAGAAGACTGAAATCATATCCAACATCTTCTCAGATGACAGTGGCATGACACTAGAAATCAATTACAATAAAAAAATTCAAACACATGGAGGCTAAATAGCATGTTATTAAACAATGAAAGGGTTACCAATGAGATCAAGAAAGAAATAAAAAACTTCCTAGAAACTAGTGAAAATTAACACGCAACAATACATAATCTATGGGACACAGCAAAAGCAGTCCTAAGAGGAAAGTTCATAGCCATACAGGCCTACCTCAAGAAAGAAAAAAAAAATTCTAATAAACTATCTAACCCAACAACTTAAAGATTAGAAACAGAACAAAAAGAAAACCCCACAGTTAGAAGGAAGAAAATAATAAAGATCAGAGCAGAAATAAATGACATAGAGATTAAAAAACAATATGAAAGATCAATGGAAGAGCTGGTTCTTAGAAAAGATGAACAAGATTGATTAACCTTTAGCCAGACTCACCAAAAAACAAAGAGAGGACCCAAATTAATAAAATCAGAAACAAAAGAGGTGAAGTAACAACAGACACCACAGAAATACAAAGGATTGTAAGAAAATACTATGAACAATTAATGCCAACAAATTTGACAACCTAGGTGAAATGGACAAATTCTTGGAATCATATATTATTCCAACACTCTACTGGGAAGAGTCAGAAAACCCGAACAAACCATTAACAATTAAGGAAATAGAAGTAATCAATAAAATCCCAGCAAACAAAAGCCCTGGTATGGATGGCTGTACAGGGGAGTTTTACCAAACGTTCAAAGAACTATCACCTATTCTCCTCAAACTATTCCAAAATGTTCAAGAACAAGGAAGATTCCCAAGCTCTTTTTATGAGGCCAGCATAATCCTAATTCCAAAACCAGATAAAGGCACTACAAAGAAAGAAAATCACAGGCCAATATCCTTGATGAACATATATGCCAAAATTCTCAACAAAATCTTAGCAAGTCAAATCCAGCAATATATTAAAAAAATTAAACACCACAACCAAGTGGGATTTATCCCAGGAATGCAAGGCAAGTACAATATTGGTAAATCAACAAATGTGATACACCACATAAACAAATGAAAGATAAAAATCATATGATCATATCAATGATGCTGAAAAAACATTTGACAAAATCCAGCACCCATTTCTAATAAAAGCTCTCAGCAGCCCTGGCCGGTTTGGCTCAGCGGTTAGAGCGTCGGCCTGTGGTCCAGAGAGACCCGGGTTTGGTTCCCGCTAGGGGCACATACCTCGGTTGCAGTTTGTCCCCGGCCCTGGCTGGTCATGTGGGTGGCAGCCACTCAATGTGTCCCTTTCGCGTCGATGTTTCTCTCTCTCTCTCTCTCTCCTCCTCTCTCTCCCTCCCACTCTATCTGAACAAAAAATGGAAAAATGTCCTCGGGTGAGGAAAAAAAAAAAGCTCTCAGCAAAGTGGGAATAGAAGGATCATATCTCAACATAATAAAGGCCACTTATGACAAACCTACAGCCAACATCATACTCAATGGGCAAAAACTAAAAGCATTTCCCTTAAGAACAGGGATATCCACATTCATCAATCTTAATTAACATAGTACTGGAAGTCTTAGCCATAGCAATTAGACAACAAGAAAAAATAAAAAAGATCCCAATTAAAAAGGAAAAAGTGAAACTGTCATTATATGCAGATAATGTGATATCGTATACAGAAAACCCTAATAACTCCATTAAAAAACTACTAGATTTAATAAATGAAATTGGCAAAGTAGCAGGATACAAAAGCAACATCCAGAAAATGTTGACATTTTTATACACTAATAGAACACACAGAAAGAGAAACTAAAAAATAATCCCATTTACCACTGCAACAAAAAAATTTTAAATTAAGATACCTAGGAATAAAGTTAAGCAAAGAAGTAAAGAACCTGTTCACAGAAAACTACAGGACATTAAATATATATATATATATATATATATATATATGAAGATATAAAAAAGTGGAAGCATATACCTTGTTCATGGATTGAAAAAATTAACATCATTAAAATGTCCATACTATCCAAAGCAATCTATAGATTCAAAGCAATCTCCATCAAAACACCAACGACACATTTCACAGAACTAGAACAAATACTCCAAAAATTTATATGGAATCAAAAAAGACCCTGAAGAGCCACAGCAATCTTGAAAATGATCCCACGTAAGAGGGATCACACTACTGAATATCAGGTTAAACTACAAAGCCAATGTAATCAAAACAGCCTGGTACTGGCAAAGAACAGGCATATAGATCAATGGAACAGAACAGAGAACCCAGAAACTGACCCAAGACATTATGCTCAATTAATATTTGACAAAGGTGGCAAGAACATACAATGGAGTAAAGACAGCCTCTTCAATAAATGGTGTTGAGAAAATTGGACAGCTACATACAAAAAAATGAAACTAGTCCACCAACTTATACCATACATAGCCCAAGTAACCATCAATATTTCAGTGGATAAAAAAAACTGCGGTACATATACACAATGGAATGCTATGCAGCTGTAAGAAAGACATATCTCTTATTCTTTGAGATGGCTGGGACCTGGAGAGTATTATGCTAAGCAAAATAAGCCAGTCAGAGAAAGACAAGTATCACATGATCTCACTTATTTGTGGAATATAATGAACAAAATAAGCTGATAAACAAAATAGACCGAGAGTCATAGAAGTTGGGATCAGACTGACAAACCTCAGAGGAGGTAGGGGGAGGGAAGAAATAAACCAAAGGACTTATATGCATGTATATATAACTAATGGATATAGACAACAATACTGTGAAGGTGGGGTGGGAGCAGGAAGGAGGGTGTCAATGGGGGAAAAGGAAAAACACCTGTAACAAAAATAAATTAATTTAAAAAATAAAATAAAAATGCGCCCAGCCAATGTGGATGCCATAGACTGAGAGGTCCCAGTTCAATTCCTGGTCAGGGCACATGCCCAGGGTTGCAGGCTCAATACCCAGTAGGGGCTGTGCAGGAGGCAGCCGACTGATGTTTCTCCCTCACATCAATATTTCTATCTCTCCCTTCCTCTCTCTAAAAAAAAAAAAAAATCACTTAAAAACATTTTTTTTTAATGGGCAGAGGATTCAAACAGATATTTTTCCAAAGACATACAGATGGTCAACAGGTACATGAAAAGGTGTTCAAAATCACTCATCAACAGAGAAATGCAAATCAAAACCACAATGAGATATCACTTCACACGTTAGAATGGCTAGTATCAAAAAGACAAGAAATAACAAGTGTGGGTAAGGATATAGAGAAAAGGCCTCATGCAGCCTCATGCACTGTTGGTGGGAATGTATACTGGAGTATCCACTATGGAAAATAGGATGGAGGTTCCTCAAAATATTTTAAAATAGAACTACCATAGAATCCAGATTTCCACTTCTGGATACTTATCCAATGAAAACAAAAACACCATCTTGAAAAGATATATGCAGCCCATGTTCACTGCAGCATTATTTACAATAGCGAAGACATGAAAATAACTTAAGTGTCTACCAACAGATGAATGAATAAAAAGCATGGGATATATATATATACACACACACACACACACACACTCAACATAAAATTATTCAGTTATAAAAAGGAAGGCTATCTTACCACTTATTATTATTTTTTTAATCCTCACCCAAGAATATTTTTCCATTTGTTTTCAGACAGAGTGGGAGGGAGAGAGAGAGAAGAAAGAGAAACATTGATGTGAGAGGGACACATCAAGTGGTTGCCTCCCGTACGACCTGACCAGGGCCAGGGACCAAACTGCAACCAAGGCACATGCCCCTGACTGGAATCATACTCACGACTCTTTGGTCTGTGGGCCAATGCTCTAACTGCTGAGCCAAACTGGCTAGGGCATATCTTACCACTTTTGACAACATGAACAGACCTTTAAGGCATTATGCTAAATGAAATAACTCAGGCAGAGACAAATACCATATAATTCACTTACAGGTGGAATGTTTAAAAAAAAAAAAAGAAGAAATCGCCTGGCCAGTTTGGCTCAGTGGTTAGAGGGTCGGCCCACGAAACAATGAGTCTCAGGTTTGATTCTGAGCAAGGGCACGTACCTTGGTTGCGGTTTGTCCAGCCCTTGCTGGGATCGTTTGGGAGGTAACCAGTCGATGTGTCCCTCTCATGTCGATGTTTCTCTCTCCCTCCCTCCCACTCTATCTGAAGATAATGAAAAAATATTCTTGGGTGAGGATTAACAAAAAAAAAATTTATTTTATATTGTATTATATACTTGAAAGTAGCTAATAAAGTATATCTTAAATTTGCATTACAAGAAAAAAATTGTAACAATATATGGTGATGGATGTTAATTAGATTTATTGTAGTGATCATTTCAGAATACATACAAATATTGAATCATTATGTTGTACACCTAAAACTAATATCTTAGTTTTAAAAATACAAGTAAAATAATGCTATAGAAACACGGATAAATATATACCAAATAATAAGTCAAAAAAAGGTAATACAAAATTGTATTTATAGCGATTTAAACTACATTAAATACATACACACACACACACACACACACACACGAATTAATGACAAAAGATATTTCAAAAATTATTTAGTTTTAGAGTTTAGGATTATGATAACTCAAGATATTTTTGTCAATTAAGGTTTACTCAGAAGATATTTAAGGTTGAATTAATGTAAAATAGAAACACTAAATAATTAAAATGTATAAGAAAATAAAACCATAGATACCACAGGATATTGTGAACAAATAAAACTGTATATAGGAGGCATCTCTAAATTGGTTATTAGTTTTCTTAAAATTGAGTTAATACAGCTCTACTAAAAGGCTACACAGAACAACTACAAAATACACACACACACATACACACACACACACAAAATCATGCATTACCTGCCACAGGAGGGACAGTGCCATAAAACCGCACTGTTGCACGTTCTCCATTAACTGCAACTCTTCGACCAATGACATCTGATGGCAGCATGTCATTCATTATAATACAGCCAGAATCCAAAATATGAGATCTAAGAAGAAAAGTAGAACATTAACAAGAACTTATTAAAATTAATTTTAAAATATTTTTCTTTATTGATTTTAGAGAGAGAGGAAGGGAGAGGGGGAGAGGGATAGACACATTGATGAGAGAGAACATCGATTGGCCACCTCCTGTACACGACCTACTGGGGAATGAGCTCACAACCTGGGCATGTGCCCTGACCAGGAATCAAACCAGTGATCTCTTGCTGCATGGGTCAATACTTAACCACTGAGACACATCAGCTGGGCATTAAAATTATTATTATTATTTTTAATCCTTACCTGAGGATATTTTTCTACTTATCTTCAAATAGAATGGGAGGGAGAGAAAGGGAGAGAGAAATATCGTCATGAGAAGGACACATTGATTGGCTGCCTCCTGCATGACCCCAACCAGAGCCGGGGATGAACTGCAACCACAGTACATGCCCTTGGCCGGCACTGAACCCATGACTCACTGGTCCGTGGGCGTATGCTCTACCACTGAGCCAAACCAACCAGGGCTAAAATTAATTTTTTAATTGTTTTAAACTTCATGTAGATATTTATGAAGTCAATGCTGTTGAACAATTCAGTCTTCCTATTTTGGTGAGGAGAATCTAGTAGTTTTATGTAACATACTCTGATAATTTTACTTTAATATCTAACTGTGTTTTTATAACCTATTTTTAAAATCTTAACTCCAGCCCTGGCCAGTTTGGCTCAGCAGTTAGAGCGTCGGCCTGCGGTCCAGAGAGACCCGGGTTCGGTTCCCACTAAGGGCACGTACTTCGGTTACAGTTTGTCCCCGGCCCTGGTTGGTTGTGCGGGTGGCAGCCACTCGATGTGTCCCTTCACGTCGATGTTTCTCACTCTCTCTCCCTTCCTCTCTCTCCCTCCCATTCTATCTGTACAAAAAATGGAAAAATATCCTCGGGTGAGGATAAAAAAAAAAAATCTTACCTCCAGTTAGCTCATATCACCTGACCTATTGTGTCATTTACTGAAGAGGGTGGAAAGGAGAGAGAAAAAGGGGATAAAATGATGGAGAAAGGGGAAAAGGAGCCCTGGCTGGGTGGTTCAGTTGGTTGGGTGTCATCCCATACACTGACGAGTCCAATTCCGGGTCAGGGTACACGAGTGAGGCAACTGATGGATGTTTCTCTCTCACAACAATGTTTCTCTCTCTCTCCCTCCGCCCTCCCTTCCTCTTTCTCCAGAATCAATGAAAAAAACATATGCTCTGGTGAGGATTAAAAGAAAGGGGGGGGGGGGGGCAAAGGAAACAGGCAACATGAACAGTGTTCTCTCCTCAGGAAGAGGGAAAAACACAAATCCACAGATAGGAGAAGCAACACACATGATGAACAATAAATAAAAAATTAAACTAATAAAAACATATAATCCTCAAAATAAAGAGGCCTTAAAAGGAGCCTGAGAGCCCGGCTTGTGTGGCTCAATGGTTGAGCATCAACCCATGGACCAAGAGGTCGCCGGTTCGATTCCCGGTCAGGGCACATGTCCAGGTTGTGGGCCCCGTCCCTAGTAGGGGGCATGCAGGAGGCGGCCCATCAATGTTCTCTCTTGTCGATGTCTCTCTCTCTCCCCCTTTCCCTTCTTCTTTCTAAAATCAAAAAAAGGGAAAAAATTAATTAAAAAAAAAAAAAAAAAAGGAGCCTGAGAGAAAAGCATCACCTGTCTAGGAGTGATAACTAGATCCAAGTCCCACTTCACTTCACAGGAAAGCAGTAGACTGAGTCAGCTGAAATCCAGACAGTGGGAAATTCTACAGAACAAACCAGTTGGTTTCTTCAACAAATGAAATGTAGGAGAAAAACAAACAGATGAGCCGCCATCAACAAATCATCAAACAACAAGTGTTGGCCAGGGTGTGGAGAAAAGGGGATTCTCGTACACTGCTGGTGGGAATACAGAGTGGTGCAGCCACTATGGAAAACAATATGGTGTTACCTCAAACAATTAAAAATTGAACTTATCATTTGACCCAGTGATCCCACTTCTAGGAATATACCCTAAGAAGCCTGAAACACCAATCATAAAGAATATATGTACCCTCATGTTCATAGCAGCACTATTTACAATAGCTAAGATCTGGAAACAGCCCAAGTGTCCATCAGTAGACGAATGGATAAAAAAGCTGTGGTACATATACATAAAGGAGTTCTATGCAGCTGTAAGAAAGAAAGATCTCTTATCCTTTGAGACAATATGGAGGACCTGGAAAGTATTATCCTAAGTGAAAGAAGCCAAGCAGAAAAAGACAAATACCACATGATCTAACTTACTTGCGGAATATAATGAACATAACAGTCTGAGGAATAGGGTAGTAACCTTCAGGAGAGGGGGTGGTGGGGGGTGGGAAGAGATAAACCACAGAACTTATATGCAGGTATGCATAACCAATGGATATGGACAACAAAGCCAAGGACGGGGGCAGGGGGCATGGGGAGGGGGGTGTCATGGGATAAAAAAGGAGGCTGTAACAAAAATTAAATTAAAAAATAAATAAATAAACACAATAAAAAAAGAAACTTGAAAAAAAAAAGAAACAGATGAAGAGAGAGCAAAGAGATTAAAAGAAACTTAAGAGATATGTCAACCAATTGGAATGTATGAACTTTATTTGGACTCTAACTTTTTAGAACTGTAATTAATTTTTTTAAATAGGAAACTGAAAATTTGAAAACAGATATTCAATGATATTAAAGAATAACTGTTTCCAGGAAGCCTAATAAAAATCAATTTATTTGGAAAAAAGGGAAAGAATAATTGTTAAATTTTTAGCTGTGATAATAGTATAATGGCTATAATTTTTAAAAGCCTTTTAAAAATATTTTAAATACGCATTAAAATATTCACAGGGCCTGGCCTGTATGGCTTAGTGGACTGAGAGGTCCTGGTTTGATGTCAGTGCACATGCCCAGGATTTGGGCTTCATGCCCAGTGGGGGACACGCAGCAAGCAGCTGACGAATGTATCTCCCTCACATCAATGTTTCTATCTCCTTCTTCTTTCCTCTCACTAAAAAAATCAATAAAAACAATTTTTAAAATATTCACAGGTATTTTAATATTTTTTTTCTTTACTGATTAGAAAGAGAGGAAGGGAGAGGGAGAAAGAGATAGCAACATCGATGAGAGAGAACATCGATTGGCTGCCTTCTACACGCCCCCCACTAGAAATCAGGCCCACAACCTGGGCATGTGCCCTGACGGGGAATCGAACCAGCGACCTCTTGATGCATAGGTCGATTCTCAACCACTAAGCCACACTGGCCGGGCTCACAGGTATTTTAGAACTGTATTTTACATATGTCATGCTAGTAACAGTACAGACAATACATTGAAAGAAAGTAAGAAACAGAGTGGCTACTTAAGGAAATATTGCTATAATTCAGCCAAGGTATTGGCCTCCAAGTACTCATTCGACACATGAAGCACTAATTACATGCTACCTACTGTGATGGACCTTACACCACAGAAACTATACACATATGATTCCTGCCTCAGAAGCTTACAGTCCAGTGGCAGGTAAACCTGAGAGAAGGGTATAGATTTCAGAGAAAGTTGAGAGCTAGAGCCCTGGCAGTTAGAGCGTCGGCCTGCGGTCCCGAGAGACCCGGGTTCAGTTACCACTAAGGACATGTACCTCGGTTGCAGTTTGTCCCCGGCCCTGGTTGGGTCGTGTGGGAGGCAGCCACTCGATGTGTCCCTTTCACGTCGATGTTTCTCTCTCTCTCTCTCTCTCTCTCTCTCTCTCTCTCTCCCTTCCACTCTATCTGAACAAAAAAATAGAAAAATGTCCTCGGGTGAGGATAAAAAAAAAAAAAAAGAGCTAGAATCAACTGGGTTTGGTGATTAAATGGACAGAAATGATAAAATGGAAGACTAGGAAGACTCAATATTTTGTCTTGGGTAGATGGGGGTGCCAAACACCAAAATAAGAAATATAAGGGGAGACTTAAGTTTGGGAGGAAAGACCGTGAGTTAGGAGGTGTCTATAGAATGTCATGATGGACGTGGATCTCTATTTCAAAGGTGTTTGTACTTGACATGTGTACTCGGGAGTCATCAGCACAATTTATAACTGATACCGTGAAAGTAGATGAGATCAAAAGTGTATTAGGTGAGGCAGGAAGATCCTGGGAAAGCGAAATGGAGGGGTTTGCGTCTAACCTAGTGGTCTGCAATCTGGCCTACAGCGGAAAGCTGGAGGAGTTGAAGGAGATCCTGACCGATAAATCCCTGGCTACTAGGACTGACCAGGACAGCAGAACTGCATTGCATTGGGCGTACAGCTGGACATACAGAAATTGTTGAATTCTTGCTGCCAGTGAATGATAAAGATGATGTCGGTTGGTCTCCTCTACACACTGCTGCTTCTGCCGGCTGGGATGAGATTGTAAAAGCCCCTCTAGAAAGAGGCGCCAAGTGAATGCTGTCAATCAAAATGGATGCACTCCCCTACATTATGCAGCTTCCCAAAACAGGCATGAGATCGCTGTCATGTTACTGGAAGGTGGGGCTAATCCAGATGCTAAAACCATTATGAGGCTATAGCAATGCTCCGGGCAGCAGCCAAGGACACTTATCCTGTGATGAGGAGAGAGTAGAAGAAGCGAAACTGCTGGTGTCCCAGGAAGCAAGTATTACATTGAGAGTAAAGAAGAAAAGACACTCCTGCAAGTGGCCAAAGGTGGTCTGGGTTTAACACTCAAGGGAATGGTGGAAGGTTAAGCAGCTTGGATTTATTCTTGCTCTGTATGTTTTATGGTTGTTGTCAGTGTCCTAGAAACAAATGTACTTTGTGCACAAGACATCATCTATGAATGATGAAGCTTTTTCACCTTCAAAGTCTTATAAACATTTTTGAATATTGTTCCTGCTGAGATATTTGTTCTGAGTGTACAATTTGCTTTCCAGGCACCAAATAACTGTTGAAATCATTCTACTATTGCTGCATAATCTATATGGAATTTGGGTTAATT